CAGGCTCCAGGGCGGCGGGGGATCTTTGCCCTTTGCCAGTGTCTCTCGGTCTCTGGGAGCAGGACAACAAGCGGGGATAATGTCCCTAGGAAACATCTGCTTCCGCGCAGCGCTGCAACGGTCGGAAAAAGAAAGAGATGCGTTTCCACGGAACGGGAAGCGCCGATGTTCTTCCCCCGTCTTCGTCGGCTGCGAATGCGCGCACGTCGGCCGTGCAGAGACGCACGCATCGTAGCGAGGGCGCTCGCTCGCACGTGAAACAAGTTCCGACGGTCGTGAAACTCAACTGGGGGAGTCGAGTTTGGTGGTGGTGGTGGGGGGGGAGGGAGAGAAAGTGATTTTGGCGCGTCGCGGCCCGGATTGAAAATTTCTCACGGTGAGGATCGCGCAGGGAAAGAAGACGCAGCAGAAGCAGCAGAAGCAGCAGAAGCAGCAGCAGCAGAAGCAGCAGCAGCAGAAGCAGCAGCAGAAGCAGCAGCAGCAGAAGCAGCAGCAGCAGAAGCAGCAGCAGAAGCAGCAGCAGCAGTAGAAGCAGCAGCAACAGTAGAAGCAGCAGCAGCAGTAGAAGCAGCAGCAGCATCAGCAGTAGAAGCAGCAGCAGCAGTAGAAGCAGCAGCAGCAGTAGAAGCAGCAGCAGCACCAGTAGCAGCAGTAGAAGCAGCGGCAGCAGTAGAAGCAGCGGCAGCAGTAGAAGCAGCAGCAGCACCAGTAGCAGCAGTAGAAGCAGCGGCAGCAGTAGAAGCAGCGGCAGCAGTAGAAGCAGCAGCAGCACCAGTAGCAGCAGTAGAAGCAGCGCAGCAGTAGAAGCAGCGGCAGCAGTAGAAGCAGCAGCACCAGTAGCAGCAGTAGAAGCAGCAGCAGCAGAAGCAGCAGCACCAGTAGCAGCAGTAGAAGCAGCAGCACCAGTAGCAGCAGTAGAAGCAGCAGCACCAGTAGCAGCAGTAGAATGCAGCAGCAGCAGCAAGCAGCAGCAAGTCAGCAGCAGTAGAAGCAGCAGCAGCAGTAGAAGCAGCAGCAGCAGTAGAAGCAGCAGCAGCAGTAGAAGCAGCAGCAGCAGCACCAGTAGCAGCAGTAGAAGCAGCAGCAGCAGTAGAAGCAGCAGCAGTAGAAGCAGCAGCAGCAGAAGCAGCAGCAGCAGAAGCAGTGGCGTGCGAGGCTGGGGCAGAGAAGTGCGGTTGCGCCCGATATCTTTGCGTACACCCGAGCAATACGCGCGTCGAACTGCGCGTGCGTGGCGGAGTCGTTGCGCCCTGGTACATGACGGACTCCTTGACTTAGGCATTTAGCCGCGTGTCCTGGGGCACAAAGATGCGGTTCGATCTTCCGCCGAGCGCTTTTCTTTCGTAGCCGTGTTGATGGGTGGGATGCCCCGGGGAACGTGTGCGTGCGATCGCAAAGTGCCGTCGCCTGAATGTAGTCGGGGCTATTTGTTGTTTGTTGTTGTTGTTGTCATCGTCACAATGCTGGGAGCAGGCTTCCCCCCCCCCCCCCAAGGCCCACAACCCCAAGTGGCCAGCACAGTTCAAGTTGTAATAGATGAAGAGTGTAACAGGGTTTCATGGTTTGCACAAGGCTATTTTTATTATTGTTGTTATTATAAGAGCTTTGCAAACTAAATTATTTCGATTTAAAGCTTTTGTGACTTTAGGGATTCATCTTCTTGGTTCTTTCGGTAAAGTCACGTAGAAGGAAAATAATAAAATAATAAAAATAAAACATAATAAAATAATTCTCACGACGTTTCGGCCACAACGCAAGCAGCCGTCTTCAGGTGGAGAACAGGTCTGTCGAGAAAGCAGGCTCTGCAGCAGAAGCAGCCCTGTTCTCCACCTGAAGACGGCTGCTTGCGGTGTGGCCGAAACGTCGTGAGAATTATTTTATAATGTTTAATTTTTATTATTTTATTATTTTCCTTCTACATGACTTTACCGAAAGAACCAAGAAGAAGACAGTTCAAGTTGTAATAGATGAAGAGTGTAACAGGTTTCATGGTTTGCAGAAGGCTTTTTTTTATTATTGTTGTTATTATAAGAGCTTTGCAAAATAAATGATAGGAAGGAATTTTGAAAACGGGAGCATAGGGATGGGAAGAAATCCCAATTGCGGTAATTTACTAATTAATGTTTTCTTAATTGGCCTGCTCTTGTGAACATCGTCGGGATCTTGATGAAGCCGACGGCGCGTTGGGATAAATTTTAGTTTCGCTTCATTCACCACTAGCGAAATACTAAACCTGGGACTCGCGCGCAAGGTTCCGGTACCGGCTGCTCGCGACGCCGTGAAGAGAAAGGGGGCAGCAATATCATCGGCTTGTCAGCAGGCGCTGGAGTGGATCGTTACGTTGGAGGCTTGCGAGGGTTGGTGGCCGGCTTGATGGGGGAGGCCTTCATCCAGCAGTAGATTGACCGTGGCTCATGATCGTGATGATGACGGTGATGAATGGTTCTGCTGTAGTGGGTATGGGGCAGGATGCATCCGCAGAAGGGATGGTGATGGCCGGTGAGTGAGACTGCTAGAATTCTTTTGCTATTTAAATTTTACCAGGTAAGGCCCGCTGAGCTACATAGCCCTCATTCATAAGTGACCTAGCTATCACGAATGATAGCAGTGACGAAGTGGCTTATCGTGTGGAAATTTACAGCAGCCAAATACTCTACAAACGCGTGATGTTTGGTTTCTAAATGTGGAGGATAAAAACCGGAGGACCTGGAGAAAATTCCACGCGATCACGGAGAGAGAGAGAAACGCAAACTCCAAATATACAACAGGTGTCAGGGTTGGGATTGAACCCACGACCTCCTGCATACCAGGCGAGGGAGTTAACATCCCGCCACCGTGATGGAGAGGCAGACAGCGTATGGGACACACAGCCGAGAAGACGTCCACTGCAGAGAGACGGAGCGAGGAAATCGGCTCGTGTGCGGGCGGGAGATGGATGGTCGTGTCGTGAGACCGTCGTAGATGGGGGGGGAGAGGGGGGGGCTTCATCCAGCAGTGGATTGATCATAGATACACAAATAAAATAAAAGCACAAATCCGTAACGCGCCGCACAGTTTGTCGTTTCATCTTCTTGGTTCTTTCGGTAAAGTCACGTAGAAGGGAAATAATAAAAATAATAAAAAATAAAACATAATAACATAATAAATGTATTTTTATTTTTATTATTTTATTATTTCCCTTCTACGTGACTTTACTGAAAGAACCAAGAAGACGAATCCCTGCAGTCACGAAAGCTTCAAATCGAAACGTTTGTAGTTTGCTTCGTAAGCGCGGGAAACCACGCGCACAGCGGGAGGGCGGCTCGAACCGCCGCTGCCAACGATTTCCCAAGCTCTGTGGCCCTATATTGGGATGTTTGGGCAACTCCACGAATTACTTTGCATCTTTGCCGCTGAACACTGCCACCACCACCATGGCGACGGCGACGATGGCGACGACGAGATGCGCTTCGTCACGAACGTGCCGTGCGGCTGAATCCGACTGCCCAGCGGGACGGAAGGAAGGAAGAGGAGTTATCGCTTCCCGTTGCAGAGCGCCACGTGTAGTGTGTGTGTGTTTGTTTTGGACAAAGTTCAAAACGGGGTGAAATCCGCTCGCATCTGAGCCACTCGCTTCCTTTCCACGTGCTCCCTCCCACTCCCCCAGCCATAATATACTGGATGTGGTGTGCTGGGTGCGGAAATATTTCCCGAGCCACCGGTAGTTTTGAATATGTAGCTCACGACTCGTAGCCGCAGCCACAGTGAGAAAAGTATACTGGATGTGGTGTGCCGGGCGCAGCAATACCGAGTCGCCGGTAGTTTGGAATATTTGTCTCGTAGCTGCAGCCTTCGCGCCACTGTGGTGAGATGTTAACTACCTCGCGTGGTATGCAAGAGATCGTGGGTTCGATCCAGACCCTGACGCCTGTTGTATATTTGGAGCTTGCATGTTCACTCTCCCCGTGGTTGCGTGGTTTTTTACCCGGGTCCTCTGGTTTCCCCCTCCACATTTAGAAACGTTGTGTTTTAGAGTTATTTGGTTGCTATAATTTTCCACGTGCCAAGCCACTTTGTTGGGCTATCATTTGTGGCCAGGCCGCTTCTGAAAAAGAGCTGTACAGCTCAGTGGTAAAATAAATATAGAAACATAGTTTTAGTTTATAGCCAGAGAGCTTTACTGAATGTGGTGTGCCCACCGAGGCAGACCCGGGCTGAAATTCAGCCCTGGATTGGGGGGCCGGGCGGGTGGGGGTGGGGTGGGGGGGGCCACGACGTTCCAGTTGGTTCCCTTGACCGGTGCCCGTGGGCACGCGCTAGAGAGGGGAGGCTCGCACCGCGCAGAACCGACAACCCACAACCGCCCTGCACCGACCTTCGTCGAACTGTGCAGATGTCCCCGGCATAGGGGAAGGGGTGGGGGGGTGTGAGGGGAGGGGCGGGGGGGGGGGAGGTCACGTGGGTGTTGTGTTCGGGGTGCCGTGTGATGATTGCGTGCGGCTGAGCTCGGCTTCCTGGGCTTCAAATTCCCGGCCACGGCTCACGCCTGCGGCGAATCGCATCAGAACTTGTCCGGGCTCAGCCCCCGCGGTCCACTCGGCCAATACCCTCTCGTGCATCGCGTGAACTGTGGCGGGGACTGCGATGATTTATACAAACTGTATGTGCCTGTTATGAAATTGTAGGATTTCTATTTATTTTGCACACTTAGTTTGGGGTGTTAGGCGGGCGGGGGGGGGTGGGGCAAGGGGTTTCTTTGACCCGTGCAACCACATTAAGCCAACGAAAATACACATTTGGTTCCGCTTGTAATAAAGCGAACGATCGAGTTCCCCGAGCGGTCACGTCAACATCAGCGCTGGGGAATCGAAGGCGGCCAGGTGTCGCGGTGCCGGACGACCCGCGGCCGCCCGTCTCGCGCGGCGTGCCGGCGCTTGATGGGTGCTCGCCAACAGCACCTGCCCTGACGGTCTGCTGACATCCGCATGGCGGGGTGGGCGTCGTTGTGCTTGTGTGCGCCTGTAGGGAGCCGCTGTCCCATGCAATGGCTGCTCCGAGACCCTCGTCACGCTACGAAGCGACGCCTGGCTTCGGAAAGTCCCAGCTGCAGGTCACCGGTAAGGCCAGCGCACGCGGGCACACACACGCACACACGCGGGCACACACGCACATGCGGGCACACGCGGGCACACATACGCACACGTGGGCTCACATGCACACGTGTGGCTACACATTCATACGCACACACACTGGACGCACGTACACATTCGCACACGTGGGCACACACGCACACACACGGGCGCACGTACACATACGCACGTACACATGCGCACGTACACATACGCACGCACACACGTGGGCACACATTCATATGCACACACGCGGGCGCACGTACACATACACACGTACACATACGCACGTACACATGCGCACGTACACATACGCACGTACACATAGGCACGTACACATACGCATGCACACGCGTGAGCACACATTCATACGCACACACACGGGCGCACGTACACATCGCACGTACACATACGCATGTACACATACGCACGTACACATACACACGCACATGCGTGAGCACACATTCATACACACACACGTGGGCGCACGTACACATACGCACGTACACATCGCACGTACACATACGCATGTACACATACGCACGTACACATACACACGCACACGCGTGAGCACACATTCATACGCACACACACGGGCGCACGTACACATCGCACGTACACATACGCACGTACACATACGCACGTACACATACACACGCACACGCGTGAGCACACATTCATACACACACACGCGGGCCCATGCATGCACGTACGTGGGCACACGCACACACGCGGAGAGATGGAGTGGGTCGTAATAGTCGTAGACTGCAAATTAATTGTTTAAGAAATGAATTTCCTAACCGGTTATCGGTTTTTTTACTGGGATAAACAACTAAATAGTTGGGAAATAAAGTCTCGCCTCTGGTGTGCGCCCGTATGTTGAACGTACTTTCGCGCCGTACGTGGCCAACCCTGCCAATCGGAGGTGCCGCTGGACGAAGAGGTGACCGTTTATTATGTTGTATTATTTATTATTTTATTATTTCCATTCTACGTGACTTTACCGAAAGAACCAAGAAGATGAAGAGGTGGCCGTTCGAGGGAGGGGCGTGTTGGTGACCATCCTAAACATCGTCATCACCCACGTCACGTGCTGGCCGTGGATTGTTGGGGGGGTTTCCGTCCTTCGCATTTGAGGACGTCTGCCTAGCCGCCATTTTTAAACAGGCCCGAGTAATCGACCTTTTAAAATAATTTAACGATGATTATTTCTCACCTCCCCCCCCCCCCCCCACCGATTGATAAACATCATCGGCCGATCATCCCGGCTCGATTGATTCGCCTTTTCCGCTTGACCGGGCACGTTGAAAAAATACGAAAACGTATCACGTGGCCCAGTGGGCCATTTGTGTAACGAAGCAGTCGCCCTGGTTCCGTTATATGTTGTTCAGATGGTAAAGGTTGGCAAAGCGGGTTGCGGTGCAGGGACGTACGTCACGGTGCATACAAAATCCGCAGTTACGTTTTGTAGGGAGCTGAAAAGATGCGTGTTCCGATGCCCGGGAAATATCGTGTCTGGTTGTCCATCTGTCCATCTGGGGACCCCTCGTGTTAGTCGTGAAAAGTACAATACTAAACTCACCCAGCAGCTCACCAGCATCGAAACTGAACTAACCACACCGTTCACCAGTACTAACCTCACCACACAGCTCATCAACACCGCTACTAAACTCACCACACAGCTCACCAACACCGCTACTAAACTCACCACACAGCTCACCAACACCGCTACTAAACTCACCACACAGATCACCAACACCGCTACTAAACTCGCCACACAGCTCACCAACACCGCTACTAAACTCACCACACAGCTCACCAACACCGCTACTAAACTCACCACACAGCTCACCAACACCGCTACTAACTCACCACACAGCTCACCAACACCGCTACTAACCTCACCACACAGCTCACCAACACCGCTACTAAACTCACCACACAGCTCACCAACACCGCTACTAACCTCACCACACAGCTCACCAACACCGCTACTAACCTCACCACACAGCTCACCAACACCGCTACTAACCTCACCACACAGCTCACCAACACCGCTACTAAACTCACCACACAGCTCACCAACATCGCTACTAAACTCACCACACAGCTCACCAACATCGCTACTAACTCACTACACAGCTCACCAACACCGCTACTAACCTCACCACACAGCTCACCAACACCGCTACTAACCTCACCACACAGCTCACCAACACCGCTACTAACCTCACCACACAGCTCGCCAACACCGCTACTAACCTCACCACACAGCTCACCAACACCGCTACTAACTCACCACACAGCTCACCAACACCGCTACTAAACTCGCCACACAGCTCACCAACACCGCTACTAAACTCACCACACAGCTCACCAACACCGCTACTAAACTCACCACACAGCTCACCAACACCGCTACTAAACTCACCACACAGCTCGCCAACACCGCTACTAAACTCACCACACAGCTCACCAACACCGCTACTAAACTCGCCACACAGCTCACCAACACCGCTACTAACTCAACACACAGCTCACCAACACCGCTACTAAACTCACCACACAGCTCACCAACACCGCTACTAACCTCACCACACAGCTCACCAACACCGCTACTAAACTCACCACACAGCTCACCAACATCGCTACTAAACTCACCACACAGCTCACCAACATCGCTACTAAACTCACCACACAGCTCACCAACACCGCTACTAACTCACCACACAGCTCACCAACACCGCTACTAAACTCACCACACAGCTCACCAACACCGCTACTAACCTCACCACACAGCTCACCAACACCGCTACTAAACTCACCACACAGCTCACCAACACCGCTACTAAACTCACCACAGCTCACCAACACCGCTACTAAACTCGCCACACAGCTCACCAACACCGCTACTAAACTCGCCACACAGCTCACCAACACCGCTACTAACCTCACCACACAGCTCACCAACACCGCTACTCACCTCACCACACAGCTCACCAACACCGCTACTAACCTCACCACACAGCTCGCCAACACCGCTACTAACCTCACCACACAGCTTGCCAACACCGCTACTAACCTCACCACACAGCTGACCATTTATTTCGAACGGCTTTTTGTGTGCGCTAGTTTGTTGTCCTTCCCCCGCACCTCCGATGAGCACGGTTGGCTACGTAGGGTGCGAAGGAAGTTCAACGTGCATGCGTACAGGCATACCAACACCCATGGCCCACATCTGGGTAGTTTGCGAGATTGGTAATGAATCGTTTGGAATATTAAACGCATTGAGTTTGTGCTCATTGCGAGCGTGCGTTACAATGTAAGGAGAGGTCTGCGATGGCGTTCACACTCATTGGTATGGGCGTGCTTCGCCACACGCACATTCATTTGTGCAGTTGGCTCCGCGGAAAACGTTGAGGCTCCCTTAATATATCAGCTTGTCAGCTTGTGTGTGTGTTTACCTGATCCACATAACCCCCCCCCCCCCGTACTCAAATCCCTCCACTGGCTGCTAATGCAACCCTGGATCGATTTCAGCGTCGCACCAACATTTTTTATGATGCCACTCCATGGACTCTCTCCCATCTACCTGTCCCCTCTCGTCTCACTCTGCACCCCTCCACACCCCCACCTACCTCTCCCCTCTCGTCTCACTCTACTCCCCTCCACGCACTCTCCTACCTCTCCCCTCTCATCTCACTCTACTCCCCTCCACGCTCTCTCCTACCTCTCCCCTGTCATCTCACTCTACTCCCCTCCACGCACTCTCCTACCTCTCCCCTCTCATCTCACTCTACTCCCTTCCACGCGCTCTCCTGCCTCTCCCCTCTCATCTCACTCTACTCCCCTCCACGCACTCTCCTGCCTCTCCCCTCTCATCTCACTCTACTCCCCTCCACGCACTCTCCTACCTCTCCCCTCTCATCTCACTCTACTCCCCTCCACTTACTCTCCTACCTCTCCCCTCTCATCTCACTCGACTCCCCTTCACACACTCTCCTACCTCTCCCCTCTCATCTCACTCTACTCCCCTCCACGCACTCTCCTACCTCTCCCCTCTCATCTCACTCTACCCCCCTCCACGCACTCTCATACCTCTCCCCTCTCATCTCACTCTACTCCCCTCCACGCACTCTCATACCTCTCCCCTCTAATCTCACTCTGCTCCCCTCCACGCTCTCTCCTGCCTCTCCCCTCTCATCTCGCTCCACTCCCCTCCACGCACTCTCCTACCTCTCCCCTCTCATCTCACTCTACTCCCCTCCACGCTCTCTCCTACCTCTCCCCTGTCATCTCACTCTACTCCCCTCCACGCACTCTCCTACCTCTCCCCTCTCATCTCACTCTACTCCCCTCCACGCTCTCTCCTACCTCTCCCCTCTCATCTCACTCCATTGCCCACCACGCACTCTCCTGCCTCTCCCCTCTCATCTCACTCTACTCCCCTCCACGCACTCTCCTACCTCTCCCCTCTCATCTCACTTTGCTCCCCTCCACGCTCTCTCCTGCCTCTCCCATCTCATCTCACTCTACTCCCCTCCACGCACTCTCCTACCTCTCCCCTCTCATCTCACTCTACTCCCCTCCACTTACTCTCCTGCCTCTCCCGTCTCATCTCACTCTGCTCCCCTCCACGCACTCTCCTGCCTCTCCCGTCTCATCTCACTCTGCTCCCCTCCACGCACTCTCCTGCCTCTCCCGTCTCATCTCACTCTGCTCCCCTCCACGCACTCTCCTGCCTCTCCCCTCTCATCTCACTCTACTCCCCTCCACGCACTCTCCTGCCTCTCCCCTCTCATCTCACTCTACTCCCCTCCACGCACTCTCCTACCTCTCCCCTCTTGTCTCACTCTACTCCCCTCCACGCACTCTCCTACCTCTCCCCTCTCATCTCACTCTACTCCCCTCCACTTACTCTCCTACCTCTCCCCTCTCATCTCACTCGACTCCCCTTCACACACTCTCCTACCTCTCCCCTCTCATCT